TTTCAGATGTCGACAGACGGAATGAACTTGAGTACGCAAGAAAATCCGGCCCTTTTCCTGCAAAACAGGTGTTAAGGAGGTGTTGTAGCTAGAATTCGGTTGCCTATGAGCAAGGATCGCAATACTTGCCCCAAGTTTTGCCCGCTTCACTGTCTGGGCAAGTTGGGATTCTCCTCCTGTGTCTTTTCTTTTTGGGAAACAACTCAGGCGCCCCAAATCCCCAAACCGACCGCCGCATGGATGGGTCCTTTCCTCTCCAGGGAGTCCTTCGGATGGAAGCGCTTCCTGCGACGGCGTTGGGAGCTCACGACCGGTACGGTGATGGTCACCTGGTGCCGCTGGCCGCTTTGGGGTGAACGATGGATCGCGCGCCGACGCGCCGCCTTTTTCGGTGCGGTGAGGGTTGGGCGTTTCGGACTGGACGGGAAATGAGTAAGTTAACCGGAAAAGGTGGGTGCGGGTGCGGTGGATAAGAAAACCACAGGTGACAGGTGGTTTTCTTGAAGGGATGATAGCATGGCATGGCAGGGTAACCCATTTCCTTTTGTTTTTCATGTTGCTTGTTGTTCTGGCAAAAAACATACCGACAGAGCAAAACGGGCGTGGCTTTAAGGGAGACATCAGACTAGAAGACTCAAGACACTGGTGATGTTGGACGCCCCCTGTTGCATCTCCGATGCGTTTACCCTTATTGAGCTCTATTTTTCAAGGAAGGTCAGTCGGCCGGTCAATCAGTCAATCAATCAGATCAATCAGTCAGCCAGCCAGCCAGTCAGTCCGTGAGCTAGTCAGCAAACCCGTAAGAGAGCAAAATAGAAACCTGCACAAATACATACAAATACCTCTTTGCTCTGAACAGGTCGGCCAGTCAATAGCGATTCTCGATCACGGGGCCTCCCCAAACCCGCGAACTTCGACCAACGCTCGTGTTCCTCTACCCAGCATTGCAGTCGGTCGGGTGGTTGCGCCGAACAAAACACACGCGCCAGTTTGGACTGGGCGATACCCTATGGCTACGAATACGTGGGGTTGAGCCCTATGGTCGGATGCCATAGCATCGAGTTGACTCGATTTGGCACACTCCGACCGCCCGGGGATGGGTGAAAACCAAGCTTTGCCCGGTGTTCATGGAGCGAAAGACCGGTCAACCGGTCGGTACCATCCGACAGGTGCCATGACCCACAGCCATATAGATATCATGATATGATATCTTCAGAATTCGGGACATGCAGAAAAGGTGCGTGCCTCCCCGACTGAATCCGAAGTTGTCTTGACAAATTGCGTGGTGTGGCCAGGAAGCTCAGAATGGGAACACTTGAAGTTGCTCTTTAATTCCTCTTCTGGATCTTAAGATGGAACTCAGCCCCGAAGAAACATGGTCTAGTGAGTCTAATTCCCTAGTGTAGACTGTTGATGAATAAAACTATATATAACCCCCATTTGGATTGTAAAACATTGTAAAATCCCTTCAGGCCCTGGGGGGTTGCAATATCACAGTCTTCGCACCGCCTAAGATGGGCCGTGCCACTACCGGACTCGAAACTCTTTGTGCCATGCATCAACAGTCTACAAAATGAGTGACCTAGACATGTCATGACATGTTGACATGTCGGCAGACCGGAGGACCGTTTCGGACGCCCCCGAACTCGGTGTTCTCACGCATGAATGCACGCCGGTCATTTCGTCCGACAGGGCGGCAGTGAGGTTCGAACGCCACAGACGGATCAATGCTTCTTGGCCTTTGCGTCGGCCTTCGATCAAGGGCATGCAGGGGCACTGAGAAGTTGGTGATTCGCCGCGTCGAGGTGGCTGGATTTGCGGTCTGACCTCGGTCCAGGTGGTTTGCGGCGTCGGACGGAGATCCAATTCAAACCCATTTTTCGAGTTATCCGGGTTGGAAGAAGAAACCTCCTTCGCAATCACTCGTACTTCACCTGGTAGTAACCCGTGCTTGGTCATGTTTTGCAGGTGAGTGATGAAAAGGATCAGAAACGAGGAAGAAACTCCGGTCAACGAGAGATTTGAGATAGGATCCCTTCTTTCTCCACTGAGACCCGACAGATTGCTTTTCTATCATTTGCCACCTGTATGTAAGAGCCGGGCCTCGCCGTCCCTCAAGAGAATATGCAAAAAAGACCAGCAGGACGATGCTGAAAGATTCATCAAGATTCTATTTGTTTGGGGCTCATTCGCTGTTACATCACGTTCTTTCCTGCGCATAATGTTGTTGTTTGTCGCACTTCCTCAGGCTGCTGTTGCACTTCAAGCACCACCGGAGTCTGGAAAGGCCCCTGAGCACGCGAGCGTTGACGAGTCGTGAGTCGTTGACGTCGTGTTTCGCGTGCGTTACCGTCGGAGACGCAGGCTCCAGATTCCGGAACATCCCCGTGAAAGACCACCGGGTCCAGAAATTGCTTGGGGAGGGTACCCTCTGACTCCGTAACATGGAAGTGGAGTTCACCACCTGTTTGTAGAGAAGAATCGTCATCCTTTCCGGGCGCCGTCACCACGTCACCATGTGATGTGTTCGGAGGGTCGTTCGGCACGGGTCCATAGTCCGACTCGTCCGATCGGCGAGTCTCGGCCGGGTTTGGGGACGCTTCTGGGAGCAGTGCCATCGGGTTCTATCCGCTCTCTTGGGATTTCAACAAAAATGACACCTCTGCACAGACTGGTAGAACCAGTGGTTCTACCAGTGCAGATGAGCTGGTCTTTTGGTTTTCGCATGCTTTTCAGCAGCTTCACCGACGCACTCGCACCGACCCACGCAGGGCGCGCACTCGCACCGACCTTTGAGGCCGAGATGATCGCTGAACTGGCACGGACGGCGGTGGCCTAGCAGCAACAAACCGGCTGAGTCACTGAGTCAACTGCGACTTGTTGGACCACAAAGACAGGAGCGAAAAGACAGCTATAGCCCTTGGGACATCGATCTTTTCTTCGATCTTGAATAGGGTTTGACGATCCCGGCCCGTTGGACATTGGACACTGCGGGTGTGAAGAACTCTTGGTCCCACACGCCGAGTAGTCGTCGCCGCTCTCTCTTGTAAAGCTCTCTGGAGCCTCACTGCGGGCCTTTATCTTGCATAAGGGATGATCAATCAATGCTCAAGAGCTCCATCTGACAAGCATCTGACCAGCGAAGTCGTCCAAATTGATTCGAAGGTGGGCTCGGCCACGGTCGTATGGCCTTAGATCGTCGGATCTCGACGCCGCTCCGCCGGACGACCTCCGAGGCGGTGCCATTGGTGAACTCCGGGGGGCCGGAGTCACGTGGCTCGCAGGGGGCGCTCCCGGTCGGGTACCGGCGGTCGGAGCGGGTGTGGTCGGATGGCTCCAAGTTGGTTTGGTGGGAAACCCATGCAGGGATCACATACAGAACTCCTGCGTCAAAGGGGTACCACGTCGACCTATAGGTACCCTAGGGTCTTTTGTCTTCGGGCTAGCTGGGCTAGCCGTACGCCCAGTACGCGGAGGTTCCATGCGGAACGGAAGAATGATCCCGGGGGGTTGGGGTCAAAGACGATGGAACTGCATGCTGCGGGGGAGAACCCCACAGCGGGGAAATGCGACGATCAGACCCCAGGTGGCCGTCTCGACCACAGGTATAGCCTGTTGTTTTTTGTTTTGAAGCAGATGGTGACAGTGTCCAAAGAGAATTAAGGCAAACAACACTGAAGCATAGAAACACTCACCCTTCAGAATGTCAGACAATCGCATGTCGAATCCGTTTTGCCAGGATGAATTCGTGCACTGTGAAAACATGTAAAAACAATGGAAGGAAATGACACGCTAAACCTGCACAATCCTGCACATGGATAACCGTCGAACCGTCGGATAACCCTTCATATGTGTCTCATCTCAGGTCTGTTTCCCTCATTAAGGCAATGAGGAGAGATATGTTGTATATAGTCTTTGTTTGTGCACGAGATGTTGGTACAAGGCACCTTAAAACGATGGCAGCACAACAGCAAACATGACAACGCTGCGAACCTAAAGCGCCCTCCCGTAGATAACGGCCCACACATTGTACTAGCTGTGCTAGTCCGGCACGAGCTGTGAAATGGCTTCCATGTTTGTGAGTTCCACGCATGCATGGCACACCAATCAAAGAAGCGCGCACGGAGTGCGGCTTCTATCCGTGTCCATCGTGTCCACGTTGCGGAGAGACGCCTCCCGGTGGGATGCAAAGGACTCGACGTTGGGTCCGGACCCGAATCCGGAGGGGTCTTGACCGTTTCCGCACCCAAGGGCTGTGTTCACTCACGGAGTGTCTGGGCGAAACCGCCGGAACAGCGGAGTTTCCGCCGCTCTCATGTGGTAGAGTGGTAGCTCAGCGCTGAGAGTGAAGATCACTAAGGTCCTTGAGCATCCCCAGCATGTTGTCCCGGTGTCCCAGAGAGACAGCGCGGACTCGACGTCTCGGCGGAGTGGCTGATGGGCTGATGGATGGACCCTTGATTTGTTTTGTTGTGGGTTTCCTAGACAGCATCGAAAGCGAAGTTGAACGTGTTAATTGACATGGCCATCCTGCTGGCCTCTGAACTCAGGGCCTTTTGACATCTTTTGACTGCTATACGTAAGCCAGATTTGACCATTCCCCTTAAAGGAGGCCAGCAGATCCGAGTTCCTGATCTTGTGATGCCTTCGTGAGCATACAGGTTGTTTTTGTGTGACCGCCCACATCGGATTGAGGCAATTTCTGGCCAGCATCGCGAGCACCAACGCTTGGGGTGATCCATGGCATGCAGCGAGGGTGGTCTTGACCGGTTGAGATAGGAAGTACTGGTGGTTGGGGAATACCAAAGACCATCAAAGACCACCAAAGGAAGACACAAGCACTGGTGGTTGTGAGACACTCACTTTCGCCCGATGTACCCCAAAGTCTTTAACAAACTGCAGTGCAGGACATCAACTTGCAAGATTTTGAACGTGATGTGTGAGGTGCTGCATATTTGGAGCATGTTCTTCACCCGAACTTGCTTCCGCTTGGCTCTCCATGGCTTCCCGCGGTTTCGGTTGCATGTTGCATCTGATGCCTGAGGAACACGAAAACATCCGCCTCAACCGCGGCGTTTGTTTTCTGAAAAACGCCTGATCCTGATGATCCTGCCCAATCCTGCCCTGCCAGGATACATGCGTTCGCTGGGCTTGGAGGAACTCAAGTTCAACGATGAGGCCCAGGACCTGGGCGGCCGGACGGCCGTGGGCCGTGTTCGGTGCGGCGAAGATTTGGGAGTTCAATGGAATTCAAGGATTGAAGTCGATGTGGCTGGAGAAGTGGGATGATTGAATGAAAAAGACGAAGCATGACCAAGGCATACCCCTACTGGAGCATACCCCAAAGTATCCCCCTTGCACAGGTCCTTATGAAATGGGGATCCTTGTATATCCTTGTAACCTATAAAATGATATAAAATGACTTTTCCAGGACTCACTTCATAAAAAGCACAATGTTTCCGGAAATCGGAATTTCTAGAAAAAAGCCTATGGATCTTGTCTCGTCATTTCATAAAAAGGTCGGTTTGGCTCCTGTGTACATTTTATAAACATCTTTTTTACATAGAGACAGCTGGATGTTGGTTCTTCATTTTATAAACAAGTATGTTTGCCAATGGATTTAATAGTCCTTGGCAGGGGAAAGCTATTTTATAAACCATTCCCTCTGCCAAAGAGCTGGAGGGTGTGGACAAATACGATGGGCCTTGGCAGGGAAAATTATTTATAAAATGGTTTGCCATCTATTTCCTGGGAGGGTGTGGACAAATACGATGGGCTTTGGGAGGTGAACATGTTTATAAAATGGGTTCACCATCTTTTCCCTGGGAGGGTGTGCACAAATACGATGGGCTTTGGG